TTAGGGTTTACGGGTTAGGGTTTATGGGTTAGGGTTTAAGGATTAGGGGTTGGGGTTTAGGGTTTGGGGCTCAGGATAAAAAGTCTAAGCGATGATACAGCATACACGTAGTGCGAACTGCCAACTTTTTACCTGGAAGACTGCCTGACCTGCATCGAAGACCGCCTGGTTAAATACATGCCTGATGTGATTCCTGTTTCAGCGGCCTACTTTTTGTTGATATATGTCCTCCAGGCCGTTTCTAGCCATGGACAAGCAAAATTAGATTTCTGCTGCTCCTGATGCTGCTGCCGCTGGCGTTGCACGCCCCTCAGAGGATTCCGCTCGCTGACGGCACGAGCGTGCCCACATATCTCTTGCTGCCACCAGGAGGACCGTGCGTGAAGAATGGTTTCATGTAGCGTCTGCACGGTCTTACTATTTACAATGCTGTGTCACTGTGTTGTTGCCCGTGCACGAGACAGTACGTGGTGTCTCTCAAAGGCTCTGTACAGCTGCATGCTAACGCTCGGACGAGTGCAGTACTGCAACCTTCTGCATGAGGAGCTTCGGCTTTGGTGGTGCGGTTGCATGACGGACCCGATCTGCGAGACAGCTGGGGCACTGACAGTTTGGATGCTTGGCTTCTCAGCCGAGGATACGGAATTGTGCAACTTGGCTGAAGCAGGTCCGGTCAAACTCAATAGGGCTTCACGAAGGCAGGTGGATCTTCAGTGGGGAGTTATCTTTTGACTGACTTTTGGTTTCCCTTGGTTAGTCCCTCAGGTCAGCCGTAAGAAGAACGATTCGACCCAGAAGACGTCATTCAGCAATCCAAGAATCCACTTCCCCCAAACCCTCACCCTGAAACCTTCAGTTGGACTACTTCCGTGTTTTGTTCGTGCCCACCCGGAGTGCGATGTGCGGGCTTAAACCCGGAGCCCTTAAGCCTGGGTTTTCAAAGCCGTAATAACCCAACTATCTAAGCTATAGTCTACACTCCTTAAAGGGGGGTTTTACAGGGGATTATATAGGGGAGTAGATTAGATGTTTATGAAGGGGGCAACTATCTAACAACCCTGCATCTTGGACTCATGAATTGACGCATCCTAAACCCCTTAAAGGGGGACTATGTAGGGGATTATATAGTATAGGGTATATTGAGGGGGATACTAGGAGTTTAGACTATGGCTCATTTTTAGATGCTTCCGGAAACGACGCGCTTCTCTAATTATCTCCACGCGGCCCCACAAACTGATTTCTCCATCCGAGGAAGGTGAACTATCGAGGATCAGCAGGCTTTGGTAAAGTCTGGCGTGCCAGTGGTGGATTTGCCGAAGATGTGGCGGGTGCCATTGCCTGGGCCGTGACCGACAGGAAGGTTTTGGGTGAAACTTTTGCAGGGGGACCTGAAGCTGGCAGGCTCCCGCCTATTGCAGTGACCGCGGTGCTGTTTAGGATAGTTACAGTATCCCCCCGTATAATGGAGAATTGAACGGAAACTATATACGCCTAGTATGGTAACTTAATTTCAGTTCCTTAACCGCAACCCAGGTGATGGGAGACTATTTCGGTGGCTATGCCGCATTACATGCAGCGTCGCAGCTGCGAGAATGGGTTGCGTGCGTCGTGGCCATCGCCCCGTTGCAAAGCGCTCCTGGGGGGTTGTCCAAGCCATATATGCCCGATGCAAAGCGTGTGCAGTCCTGGGACCCAGACCAAAGCCAGGGTCGTGGACTGGGAATGCTTGAGCCCGCCGGCCTGGTAAAAGATTTGCAAGGATTGGCCATGATGGTAGTGGAGTATGAGCGCGACGAAGATTCGAAAGGCCCCTTTGTGACGAACATGGTGCCAGTGGGTTGCGATCCGGAAGATTGGCCGCCTTCATTGCAGTATGTGCAGTATGCTGGAGAACGGAAAGGAGGAGGAGTAGTCAGGCAGAACATGCTGGATTTGTTCAGGCGCCTGGACTCCTTCCTGCATGCCAATCTTAGTCCACTGGTCCAGCCGACCCGAGGCCTGGCAGCTGCGGCATGCTGAAGTCAGTGTGCTTATGTAGGGTTTAGGGTTTAGGGTCTAGACTCATTAAAGGGGGTTATACCCTAATAATGGAGAATCAAATGGAAAAGAGCATGGAAAATGAAATGGAAACTGAGATTATAGGGTAGTTTATAGGGGTTAGGGTTTAATGTGAGCTTTAGTCTAAACTTCTTAAAGGGGTTTGTATAGGGGATAATATAAGGGATTACTCAAGGGCTTACTGAGGGGGGTACTAGGAGGTCAGACTACAGCTCACATGAACAGATGCAACATGATGCAGCATTCAGGACAGAACTTGTTGAAAGAAGACTTCGTCGACGAGGTTGGAGCATCCTGCCTTGTGCTTGTTGCTGCCCATGTGTTCAGTCTTTATCCCAATATAACCCTAATATAACTCAGATATGACCCTACTATAATCCCAATATATCCCTAATATGATCCCAACATAACCTTAATACTATCCCAATGGGTCATCCCTTGAGGTGCCATTCCTGTCAGCAGCACTGCAGCCTGCGACCATCGGATCCAGTTCGCCCTCGGCGGAGGGCATTGAACTTGGCCTGGAGCGGGTTCTGCGCGAGACCAAAGGCCAGGGAGAAACATATTAGTAAATAGCTATGGGGGTTTCCCAAAATTAGGGGTGCTTTTTTGGGGGTTCCCATAATAAGGACTATAGTATATTGGGGTTTATATTGGGGTACCCTAATTTTGGGAAACTACCCTATTAGTATTAAGGAATAATACATGTTAATAAACATTAATGATATCAAGTATCCCTGCAGTGCCTAACCACCGGGTATGCCCGAGTATGCGCGCACCAACCGAGGAGGGGAGGGGGGTCGGGGCGGCCGAAAAAATGCACGCACACTTGCAACAACTTTCAAGGTATCATTATCACACCGCACTCTGTAATGTTCTCGCACCCAATCCTTCAAGAAAAATTACATTTCTTCTGCAATAACGGCTTTAGGGTGGGGAAGCTCGATGTCGCTACTAGTTAGTATCAGCCATGGTAAAGAGCAGAAGACGGAGCTGCCAGGTCAGGAGATCGCTGATGCGTTCCCTAAGTTGCGATCGGCCTTTGGCACTCCTGTACTGTGAGTCGCACATCAGTATCTGCTCACTTCCGGTTCTGCAGGACCAGAGCCCCTAAGCCCTAAACCTACACTCTACACCCTAAACCCTAAACCTACTAGCTCAAGCGCAGCATCTTCCGCAACTGAGGCAGGGGTCGGTTTCTCGACTGATGCACAGAAGGAGGAGACAAGTGGCAAGCGGCTACAAAATTTGCCTCTTGACAACTAGATGGGGGCTTTCGTCCTTATATGAGCTATAGTCTAAACTCCTTACAGGGGGTTCTAAAGGGGATTATACAATAGAGGTCATTAAGGGGGCTACTAGGAGTTNNTTAGACTACAGCTCATATGTTCAAAATTCAAATTTGTACGGAAGTAGCACATGAGCCCTGATAGTTGCTGCTGAAGGCTGGCGCCAGCGTCGCGTGTACTCGTCCGTGACGATGGACTGTTGGCCTTTGAGCTAGTGTAAGCGGGTGCATAGGTTCGTGAAGCGCCATGATCGTAAAACCGTGTATGGATGGGATACGGCACTGCCCCAGTCAGCAACAGTGAGATAATCATTGTGCTATGCCTATTACCTGACATCTAGTGGGTAGGGGCAGTGCCCAATGTGTGGATGTGTTGGCAATCCTCGTGTGACAGGAACCATCGAGATCACTGTAGCCTTTGCCAGCGCTCCCAAGAAGCTCCACGTTCTCCTGTCGGAAGTCTGGATGCACATGCGAGCGGAAGGTTTGGGGTTTACACTGGCCCTGCCACGTCAACCAAAGCCTGGGCAGCGAATCAAAGCTTTCAATATGCCCAGTGGCACTGCCTTCCACTTTGAGACGCTCAGCTGTGTCCTGGACATGTTGCCAAGAAGGTAGAATCCCTTCACAAGAGTGCCATCCAGCGTTGAAACGTGAAGATACTTTGTGTGGGACCGTGCTAGGAACATGACTTGCGCGTAGCGCGTAAGGGCCCGTTTTGGCCCCATACTCCTCTCACAGTGCCAAGGATTGCCGCGGAGTCAGGTGTAGGAGCCGTGGAGAACTTCAATTACTGGGCTGCCCGTGGTAGCACTTTGCTGGACCTTGTGCTGCCAGAAGACCTGGCTGCCGCACCAGTGATGCTTCCAGATGCTCGGTAGTGAGCCGGGAGCCGACGTTTCGGTGACCGACCACCTACTGGGTTGCTGTTAAGG